CCGGAGCATGAGTAAGGAGGCTTTTGTTGGATCTCTTTCTGGAACACGCAAGGTACAACACAACTGTCTGTGAGAGAAGCATGCTGATCCACTCAGTTCCACCCCGGCTGGGCCAACGTATGGCCTTGTGATTTATTAATGATTGACATGGCAAAGCAAACTGTGACGGAGAACTGTAGTCGCTTGAACCCAAACCAGTAGTTGCTAGAAATTAATGGAATTCTTGGGATGAATACCAATTTCCCAGCACCACAACCTGTGAGAATCTCTGCTTCAATTATAAAATAAATAATAAATAAATAAATAAAAATGCCTTTATTTCCGAGCGTCTCTCAGTACAAATATTACTGTTTTACAGAGTAACTCAGGTCAAAACTAACTAAAAATACAATACTATTATAATACAAGACATCGTGTGATAAAATAAAAATATAAAATATATATATATATATATAGAACTATTTTACAATATTAATACGTTTTTTTAAGTTTCTTTTAAAAGCCAGGACCCCCAGCTGTTTTAGGTCCAAGGGGAGGTCACTGTAAATCTTTGGGCAAAAGTATGAAAACCCTTTCCTTCCCACTTCCAGGCACACTTTTTGAAAGTGGAGCAAGGCGTTGTGCCGGGTCTCGCGTTGGGTCATCTCCCCACGTGCCACAAGCCTTTCCACCAGGTACTTAGGCTCTTGGTGAACCAAGACCCGGTGGATGAGGCTACAAGTCTGCGCCCTGCATACGGCACCCATCGACAGCAACCCCGCAGCATCCCGGAATGGGGATACGCGTTCACGCTTACGGATACCGTAAACAAAACGAACGGCGGAGTTCTGAACTTTTTGCAGAATTATGTATTGTTGGAGACTGTGAATACAAATACGGGTTCCATTACACAATTTGGGTGGATGTAAGTTTCTCAGCAGCATCACTGGAGCTCCAACCTTAAGAGTGAGTTCATGGGCAGGCAAAACGGGTGCTGATACACTGAGTCGAGAAACTCTGCCGGGTAGTTTACAGCATTGTCTTATCTCAGGACGTTGTTCACTGATTTATACGTACGTTCTTTGCTGTGGAAAAGAGCCATCACCATCAGAATGTCAGAATGGTGTCAGAATCGCACAACCACAGATCCAGCACTATCCAAGTAGTTCATGAACTCCTGGAAAGACTATGGTTATCAGTTCATTTTGTGATCTGAAAACAACACCAAGTGAAGGAGGGACCGTTAGTCTCCAACCTTTATTCTCTGGGAATTCCTCATCTCCACATTGATCAATGCATATTTCATGTGAGTGAGAGGCGTTCTATGGTTGGCCACAAAGTGGATCACTTCAGAGATACATTGATCTCGTCAGCCCTCGTCTCCCACACCCCAACAGGCAGAGTTTGTCTGAAGTCGCCAGAAAACATGACATTTATTACCCCGTGGTGGCAGAACTGTTGCTAACATCTTTCAATGTCCGGTCCAATGTTTCCATGGCAACTTTGTGGCCATGGTGCATTTGTCCCATACAATTAGGGAGCAACTACGTCCACCAATTCGGGTAATGGTCTCTTACAGGTTAACTAGGCACAAATCATAAAGGTTGAGATGGTTTTTGTATGTTGCATTTGGTTCCACCTGTTGAGCCAATCTTTAGAAGTCCTCAGCAAAAAAATATCTCTGAATCTCATCATCCACAGATCAAGGGGATTGTTCAAGGTACAAAACACCTACATGACACTAAAGATATCTCTCAATTTCTAAGGGCCCTGAGTAATAGGTGTCTCCCTTAGTGTATCCTCCCAACAGGAGTCGTCCTCCAGAATGCCAAGTGCCTAGAATGCAGATTGGAAAGTAGGAAAAGTTCAATGGTATGTAATTTGTACAACTTTTTGTGTTAAATGTAATATATTCCAGAAACAGCTGCATTATTTAATTTACAACTAGTTAACCGCCCGTGCTCCGCCACGGGAATATTGTCAGCAATAAAAGAAATAATAATTACAAATACTGTTTATCTTTGTATTTTATTTAGGGGTTGTTTAATTTTTTACATGAAATAGAGCTGATAGTTTACCTGTATAAACTATTTTATGTTAATCAAACCGATATATTATTTTAACCAAATGAATGTTTTATATTAATTTGAGTTTCATTTGAAAAATAAGTAGTATACGAACTGGGCAATGCTGATAACCTAATAGGCAGCTATTTATGCTATTTAGATAATTTGCTCAAGTGTATTCCTATATTCGTTGTTTTTTTTCATTACATTTTTTGTATGGAATAAAGATAGTCACTTAGCCTACATGTAAATCACGCATCAGCAGTTGGTCGCATTTCACGAATCTTTGACTCATACTGTGAGTAAAAGCTGTGTTTACGTCGTATATATAAAGTTGGACATACTTTGTTCAATATTAACGGTCCAATTTGATGGAAAAGGAGTCGTGGATTTTAAAACTATGTAGACTACCACTACCAGAAAGATGTTGATTCAAGTGAGACTTAGAACTGGTCATTTCAAATGCAGATTTGTATTATATTTTACTCAAATAGTTTTTTTGTCTCTTTTGGCCCTTAATACTTTTTTATAGTTGCTAATGATAATATTTTCCATAAACTCAAAATGTTGATAATGAGTTCATTTTACCTTCCCCTTGTGACAACATAAGGAAAAAATATTTGTGTCCCAGTTAGTCTGTTCTGACTCAAAATTCATAGATTTGCAGTATTGACAAATCCAATCTAACGACCCCAATTTTAAAAAAATGGCATTTTTTAGAAGGGACTTCCAGAGCACATTTAACACCATCACTGCTCTTTACCTTTTTAGTTCGATGGTTCTCTACGTGTTTTTTTTTTTCGTTCTGTATGTCTCTTACGCCCGGTTAATGATTAGCCTACCTTTTCTTTTTCTTTTTGTACTTTTCACATCCTGGGGTTAATGATAAAGTTTTATAACGCTATAATGACCCGAGTCAACATTGCCATCAAACATCAAGTCTTCAAACTTCTTCGCCAGAACCGAAATCGTAAGTCACAGTTTCTCAAGCAACTTTCCTGTGTAGGCCTACTCGAAAAAATATAGTTAGGGTATAGTTCACTGATAAATTGTAGTTCCAAATATCCCAGCGTACTCGCCATCTCGAAAAGGTAAAATTTGGACGTCGAACACTGATCTTGAGTAAGATTAATCACTTACGATAAAATGTTTGTATGTTTACCAATTATTAGCAATTATCTGTACAACTTGCAAGTGGATTTCCCTATGATTGTTGTGGTGGCTATAGAGAATAAATTATATTGATCAAAACAATAAGTTTCCGTCCCCTACTATGGGTATTATTTCACATTCCATACTCAAACTGAAACTCAATTACCACTTTCCTTCAGATCACTTTTGCAGGAAAACTAAAACATTTTTGTGTCCCAGTTAGTCTGTTCTGACTCGAAATTCATATATTTGAAGTAGTGACAAATCCAATCTAACAACCCCAATTCAAAAGAGTTGGTATTTTTTTGTAGGGACTTCCAGAGCACATTTAAAACACCAACACTGCTCTTTACCTTTTTAGTTCGATGGTTCTCTATTTTTTTTCGTTTGGTACCTATGTCTCTTTACGCCCGGTTAATGATTACCTTTTCTGTTTCTTTTTGTACTTTTCACACCCTGGGGTTAATGATAAGTTTTATAACCCTATAATGACCCGAGTCAACATTGCCATTAAACATCAAGTCACATACTTCTTCGCCAGAACCGAATGGTAAGTCACAGTTTCTCAAGTAGCTTCCCTGTGTACGGTACTTGAAAAACAAATCACTGATATATTGTAGTTCCACGTATCCCAGCGTACTCGCCATCTCGAGAAGGTAAAGTTTGGTACCACTGAACGTCTAACACTGATCTTGAGTAAGATTCGTCACCTACTATAAAATGTTTGTATGTTTCCCACTCATTAGCAATTATATGTACAACTTGTAAGCGGATTTCCCCATGATTATTCTGGTGGCTGTAGAGAATAAATTATATTGATCAAAACAATAAGTTTCCGTTCCCTACTATGGGTATTATTTCACATCCTATACTCAAACTTAAACTCAATTACCACTTTCCTTCAGATCACTTTGCAGGAAAACTAAAACATTTAAAAAACAAGTTAACAAATACACTTTCCTTGATCAAAATCGTGTGTTTATAAACAGAAACTCCAAGTTTAATAATTGCATACTGAAAATGAGGTTATAAAAATAATAACTAATGTATGACAAACATTAAACAGCTGACGAATCATTTATAAACTGTGTATTATATTCTTCAATAAGAATTGTATTGACTCGACCTTTAAAGGGCTGTAGGTCGTAGCCCTTAGAAAAAACGTAAATTCTAAGGAAGTTCGGCAAATCTACGCATTGTCCCCTTTAATTTGAGACATAAATCTTGTAGATCGGTCCAGTAATTACTGAGAAAACAGTGTTACAACTGTATATTAAATATATAGATAGATGGATAGATCACTTGAAAAAGTCAATGGTAAAACTTAGAACAAAGTGAGTCTAATACCACGCAAAACTGGATTATTGAGTGTTAGTTTTTTTTTTTATTATTTCCAATGGATTAAGGCATGTTTCAAGTAATTAAAACCCTTCTCATGCATATAGAGAATACATCAAAATAGTTTCATCATGATCTGTTTTGTCGTTTTCCCAGAGAAGAGAGTGTAAAATGCCATCTTGAGAGTCACAGACTGACAGAAATTGAGATAACACGTGGTTCAGCTTTCCTATTATATGAAACGAAAAAATAACCAGAACATTTATGATTCTAAGCAATTTACAGACAAAACTCTAATTTTATTTATATAGATATAACATTATAAAACTTTCACTATACTTACACTGTGAAACTTGGTGGATGTACAATTTATTAATTATTTAACATTAAAACTCAAGTTAGTTTCTGTGTAGTGATTATACTACTTCTGCAAAGAGCTGGGAATTAGTCAGGAAAGTAATGGGCTTTCAACAGTAAAACTATTTATTTCTAACAAAGCATTTGCAACAACAAAGAAGGCAAGAGAGTTTAGTAGAACTTTTGGAGGGACTTGATTGAAGCGTTTTTAATTGCTAATGTGATTAAAACTTTTAATTTAAAAGTTACTAAGGCCGAGTTTCTTCCTTTTAATGAAGTAATTTAGTTTATTTTATAGGGTTACTAGAAATTTCAAATTGGTAAACAACTGGCCTTTGAAAAATATAAAAATGCACATAAAGCATGCAAATAAAAGTAATTTATAATTTATACTAGCTAGCTCAAGCAAAACTTATTAGTTTCAAAGATACAACAAAAAACCAATACATTTACATGTACATAATTTCAGTATGGTAGTTGGGATTGTTTTTCTTAAGAATTAGGGTAGAAAAGTTATAAAAGGATGGTGTAAGGCACAGTTATTTTTAATTGTTAAATTTTGTGCTTTTTTACTCAACTCAGTAGATTTTAATATCCTGGTCATTCCATGTTTTCCATCATAGACAAATAGAATAAATATAGGAGGTCAAAGGAAAGTAAGGTTCCGGCGCCCACCGCTAGGAGTGCCGTGTAGTTACGGCGCACACCACAGCAGGCGAGGAGCGCAGGAGCCATAGCGACCAGCAGACACTGCAGCGGTGTGCGCCGTAACCACAAGCCAAACCTAGCGCTGGAAGCCAGAACTTATGCTAACCGCAGCACAGCTGACGGTCTATATTTATTCTACTTGTCTACGTTTCCATTCAACAGAAAAACACTTACACATAGTAAGAAGAAGGATTATGTTTAATGGTTTCTGTTACAATACTCATTCAGTCGATTTTATTAAATGGTAATAATTAAATTGCCTATAATTGACATTGCAAAGGTAGATGAGGATTCTAGAAGAGAGAGGTTTAGTAGGAATTTGTTAACATATAAAATTATTTTAAAGATAAAATAGTAATTCAAATAACAAATTATCTAAATACTGATACACTTTATAACAAATACAATAATTGCTTTTAACTTTTGTCTGTTAAATACAGCAGTAAAGACTTCATGTCAACTACAACATGTCACTGAAATATAATACTAGTCACAATTGTATCACTATACTCAATCCTTACGTTACCTACAAAACCTCTTATCAGCTTTTTTATCACTGCAAGATTTGACACAATATTTCTTTGAATTTTGAACACATTTGGGTTTCTTTTTTCAAAGCAAAAAGGAGTTTTATCTTACTAGAATGGTCCATCAGAGACAGATAGATTGGGAAATATTTTATCAGCACCTGTACTTTCTAAGTGGTACCCATATTTTCATCAGGTAACTAGTGCATTTTCAGATATTCTAACACATGGCAGTGCCTGCCACTGGCTGCTAGGTCAAATGGTGTTCTACCATCTTGGTTTTTAAGTCTGAGGTTTGCGCCACCATGCAATAATAACTTGACGATCCCAAGATGGCCGAATAATGCTGCCGCATGTAGAGCGCTCTCTCCATTCTGAAAGAGAAAAATTTCAAAAACCTAAACTTAAATAGCTTTTGTCCTAGAAGTAAATGTCAAGCTAAAATGGTCTTTTCATAAAAAATGTATATGAACAAATATGGTTGAGGATGAGCCTTTTATTAAAACTGTTAAAGAGGTTTTAAATTTAAGTAAAAGAAAATAATAATACAATCGTGAATTTTTCAGGTTCTTCTTTAAGTTTATATACAGGTTATATTTTTACATGGGCTCTAACACCCGTTAAGACCCACTAAAACCTCTCCTACTCTTAGGACACTCGCTGGGAGCCCATATCACACTTCATAAGAATTAGTTTCAGATTTCCTATGCCCAAAAGACTCACTCTGTGTCTGGCTGTTCATGTATTACATGACCTAGACTGCAATTACATCTAGGTAGTTCTTTTAGACTTTGAGGATAATCCGAACGATTTGCGACCAGCATTCCCAGTTGGCCAGTTGGCCTCCTCCTCCCCTACCACATGATCTCACAAATCGATTCAACCAACAGCATACAAATATGTTGAGTGGCCTCCCGACTGAGCATATCCCACCGCGGACAGCAGAAGAATGTTGGTTCTGCGTCGTCAGGAACGCCCTGGCAGTAAAAACACTTCAGTGTGAATTTGACTTGGCTATCAAAGGCAGGTAGGACTGAAAATAGCTGTGCCCTGACATTAACTGCGCAAGGTGGTAGTGATCTCACCATGCCGCCATTCCACCCAATATTAAACCTGCCTAAAGGAGTCTGGCAGTACTTATCAATGTAGCCTTCCCTTTGGTGTATTGGCTTTCTCTCCCTGGATATAGAGTTTAAATTTACCCTTGCATGGATGATATACTCCCTGCTGAAATTAAAATACTTCCTCATTTATGTTTCTCTGTATGTTATTGCTAGTCACTTTACAATATAATCATAGACTACTTGCTTTTAAAAAAATCTTAAAAATAATTCTACTAATTTAGTGATCTAACCAACCAAAGATGCTTACAGGTAGCTTTCCCAAACTTGGGTTGTACTTGAGCAAATCTTGAACAACATCAACATGTCCCTTGTGGCAGGCCTTGAACAAGGGAGTAGCTCCATCCTGAAAAATAATAATACAAAATAATAATGGTAAGTGGTAAGCCAAACTGCACATTATCAATTATAAACTGAAGGAAAGAACACTGGTAAGGGCCGGACTTCTCGAGTGTATAAAACCCGCCGATAGTAAGCACCAAAGTTTTCAAGAACTACATGAAGCCAACAATCAGCAGCGGATTGAAGGCAAAGCATTGACTTCATGAGCGTACAAAATGCCGCCGACTGTATTTATAGAGAAAAAATTAAGAACTTGTTTCTTCGGATAGAATGCTCATCATCAGATTATGGGGTTGGTGTAACATAATCTGTAACTGTATTTGTTTGTGTGGTTTGAACAATCTGAGTTGCAGCTTGAGACATTTCTGACCTTGGCTGCATCGCCCCAGAGGGGCAGTCTGTCTAATATTGAAACAAACAATGTCAAGAATTATTTATTTATGGCTATCTGCTTGTTCTTCCTTCTGCCATTGCTACTCTTGTAATTCCAGACCCTACGATAAAATTAATGTTGTAATTAAACATAACTGTCATGATTTAACATAACTGTATATTAACTGCTTTGCTGGGATTGCAGGCATTTTCTTCTTCTTGGCAACTAGAGATGGAAATCATGTTTTGGAAGTACCAGCCTTAAGTTGTGTCAGATCATCGGCAATACCTTTGTCGTTGTTTGTGTTTGAATTATTGGCATCATCTTTGACATTATTCCTCGCCCAGGGAAAGATGTACCAACACACAGGAGAAAGGCTATAGTTTGCCACTACCCGTAGTCCGGCGCACCGACGATCTGCGTGCGTATTTTACGCATCCAGAAGTGTACGATTTCCAAGCGCTCAAATTTTGCGTTTTCATAAGGCAAACGAAACACTTGTGTAGTTTACATTATGAAGCTATCTATGGCACTGAAAAAGGAAGCAGACGGTCAGTGGTGTTTTACACGCTTGTGTCGTCCGGTCCTAAGGACTTCAATACTAGGTTGCTTAAGCTCCATAAGATCAGACAAAACACACAGCGAAACGACACACCACAATTGACACAAAATCTGCAAAAGAAACTCATAAGAGCATTCAATTAACATTTTTGTCTGTGGTGATTTGTTTCACCGTTAGCTGCGTTAGCTCTTTGTAAGTTTTAGCTGTTATAGTCATAGTAGCTACCAGTTGAGAATGTTTTTCTGGTAGTATACTTTACTATGTCTACTAAACTATGGGCTGTTCTACTTGCCCATGGTAGTGTAGCTTTAGCTCCAGAATTTGTCCACGAAGTTTGCTTTTCTTTCAGTGCGTCTGATCTGTTTCCTTTCCCGTTTAGTGCTGCCAAAACCTCTAGCACTCATCTTCCTAATTCACTTATTGTTTCAATTCTATTTTTATAGTCCATGATTTACTTACATGTCGAACAGCGTCCACAAACGCTCCATGTTTCAGTAGCAGTCTCACAACAGCTCCATGGTTCATCTGTGCTGCTATCCACAGCGGCGTTGCTCCGTCCAGCCTACGCTGGTCAATAGAGGCTCCTAGGGTCAGCAGCAGACGACACGTGTCCGCGTGTCCATTCTGGGCAGCAATAAACAAGGGGCTTGCCCCGTCCTATAAAAAGAGAAAATTTTAACACTATACTCGTGCCCACGAGAGTCTGCAGGTGGCGGCAGCCAATAGCAAGACTGGACTAGTTGCAACATTGCCCGCTCACTAATTTTTGACACTAATTAAAATATACTAAATAAGCAATATTTTCAAATCAGCTGGTATTATTAGATTTGGCAACAAACACACGGTCCTCATTGGCTTCTTCAAAGCCATGTGGTAAGTATAGGCTCCTGCCTCAACTGCAGACTCTCGTGGACTGTCTAGGTAGGCAAAAAGAAATAATGGCCACAGGACAGGGTGGGAAAAATGTTTTTTTTCATCAGATTTCGCAGAAGAGACCTTTCAAGATCAATCTTTTTTGTTACTTTGGGTATTGATACTGTCAAAATATTTGACTGTACTACAATAGAGTCCACCTCTTACACTGCATTGAGCCTAATTATTATATTGTTTATGTGTTGTTATGTTATATTGCCAAAACAGCATATATATATATATATTATACAGGGTGCGGCAAATAAACCAGATCTATTTTATGCAGCGCACTGTTCAGCAATAGGTCGTCTGATAGTTGTGGGGTTAGGCTCATTGGAAAGCCTACACGATATTATCTGTAGTCATAGAACAGAGGTCCCCTGAGCAACGTGTGTTTGTTATTGAGTCGAATTAAAAAGATATTGTTTCTAAGTAAGCACTCAACGTGCATTCTTTTAATTACAGCAACGTGGATTCCGTCAAGTAGAACAATCATGTGGTGGGTTACCAACTTTGGAACAATATGGCTTCTGCATTAAAAAAGAAGCTGACAAGCCGTCCAAAGCAGATCGGACGCCAGACAACTAACATTCGATAGAGTTTGTGCTGCTGTGGAAAACAATCCTCGTAGGCCCGCCCGAAAACCAGCATCTGCTCTAACCGCTCGGGTACACAAATTTTGAGGTTCGATCTTAATTCTTATCCTGATTAATTTGTATTTATCTGTTTAGTTTCGTTGATTATCCATAAGGAACCCAATCGTGACGGAACCTCTCCATGTTGACCTAATTTAAACATTGCATAGGAATGCTGCTGAGTTGCAATGACTGAATCATTACTTTTTAATTCGGCTCGATAATAAACACACGTTGCTCAAGTGACCACCGCTCTATGACTACAGAAAATGGCATCGAATAGGCTTTCCAACGAGCCTACCCGAGCCTACCCCTACCACCCTCAGACGACCTGTCGCTAAACAGTGCGCTACAGAAAATGAAAATAGATCGGTTTTTTTGCTGCACCTTGTATGTTTCATGATTCTGCACGAGTATATTACTTCTCCACATTAAACATCTTGCTCAGCGATGGCCAAAGTACAGCACACGGTCCACACAAAGTAATGGAAAATCAGAGTGTTTGAATGTTTTGAGTTCCAAAATATCTTTGGGCTGAAGCAGTACGGTACCGTACTCAGCTTTCAAACTGAACAGAAGTCTTGCCTACAGCTACACTCTAGTAAGAGGGAATACACTTGCAAAACTGGTATGGAAAACAAGTTCTTTCCAAAACTGAAAATTTTAAATGTCAAGCATGGTTTACTTATATTTAAAAAAATAGTGCATTCCATATTGTACATATTAGAGGTACCTTCATACAAGCGTTGATGTTTGCATTGTGTCTTGCTAACAGCTGGACCATGTCATAATGTCCGTACTGGCAGGCAACAAATAGTGCAGTTCCTCCATCCTGAAAGGATCATTATTTTATAAATCAGTGTATTCAGAGCAGTTATCACAGTTGTCATTTCAATCAATTTTAGACATAATAGAGCAAAGCACTTTTACTACACTCCCTGCCTTTGATCTGTACAAAATTTAGCACGGTCATAACAGCAAATGAAGAATAACAATATCAAAATGGTTACTATTTGCAGTTTTAAAATACAGTAATTTACGTGTGATTGTTATTTTGTGAGTTCAGTGATTTACTTATTTAAACAATTATTTGTTACACATTTACTGTATTGTTTTTTCTGAGTAAATACAATTGTGTTTAACTTAAGTAATGTGTACATGTGTTTAACTTAAGTAATGCCACATTTACGCAGAGGCGGTGCCAAATCAAATTAAATATCATTTATTCCATGAAAAATTGAATGGTTTACAGAAATTGGGCAAAGCTACGTGTTGTTCCAGCTGTAATAGACTCGAGCCATAATAGACTGTGGCACATACAATTGATAAAAAGTCCCGTTTACATCAGCGATGACATTGAAATTTTTAAGACTTGAGTTTGCAACAATTTGTTGGAAACTTCAGTGTAAATAGTGTTTCCTACTTCATTTACAAAAAGAGTTCTATTGTTAACACTAAGAAAACTTTTAAAAATATGGATATGCTCGAGATCACCTTCTTAAAGTCAATCAAAAAAAGAGCAATTGGACAACAAAATCTCAAGAACTGGCAAGCTGTCTTATTCAATCATAAATGAATGTGTTTGTGATCAAACCCAATATTGATTGCATTTTTAACTACCTACCATCGTGAAAATATAAATAAAGGGTGTCCCAGTAAGAACGCCGGATTTGAGGAGCGTCTTATCCTTATCTGTATTTCAATAGGAATTCCCAAATTATCAGCGATGTTATCAGTATTAGGTCCCATTTGTAGTCATGAATCGCTACACGACGGAACAACGCGTGGTCATAGTGCACTACAAGTAAGTACGGAAGCTGCCCACTATTTACGGCCGGGACAATGCACCAAATGATCCATCTGTCCGAAGATTGATTTATAAGTTTGAATAAATTGGCTCAGTTCTATTTTGGGGATATTTAAAGTCGCTTGTTTTCGCCAATAATCCTCAAACAATCCAAGACTTGAAGGAGGAAATGATTCGAGCCATTAATGGAATTTAACAGGAAGTGTGTGAAAAAGTAATGGAAAACTTTGTCAAGAGATGTCGGGCCTGTCAGTATTCAGCAGGTTGGCACTTACAAGACATAATACTTAATTACCAATCGGAGATACTATGCTTTAAGATTCATGTTTCATATTGTAAATTTAGGGATAAAATATATGGTTTGTTAACATTTCAAATCCGGCGTTCTTATTGGGACACCCTTTATATATAAATATAAAATTATTCCAATATTAATTATTCCAAAATAATTAAATAAATACGAGGTGTTAGCCCGTCCTACGTACGGGAGTAGTCAGTTAAAACTGTGTATACTGTAAATCAGAACAGCTAGCTTACACGTATAAAGACAAATTTTATAGCAGCCTACAGTACAAAGAGTAATTATCAATTGAGAAAGTATATAGACCTAGTCAACGATATCACCTTCCATTTCTATCGCATACCTGCCTCTGCCATAATCAATATCAACACAATACAATTACTCATACCATACACAATTTCCAGTAGGTCTGAATATAAACTCCCTAAAATAAAACGAAAACATCCAATAAAATTCACAGTACACATAATTATAACGTTGGTGCCCTGACATCATTAAAGAATCGTCCACACATATCCTTTATATCAATTTCACTGCATCAATTGCTAAATAAATAAGTGTAAACAAAGAAAAGTAAAAACAACAACATTAAGTTTGTTTTGGTAAACAGCTGAGTCAAAAATAAAATAATATTCATTTGAACAAAAGAACTGGTCACATGTTAAAGGAATTTAAAACGTAAAACATGCTAGTAAAGCTAGTGACGTAATTAATTGTCTATGTTTATTATCCATCCCGTTATCAGTTCTAATATCCTTATTAATTAAACCACCCTCATTGAATCAATGTACACCCTGATTCCCCATATTCATTTATTTAAACTATAAAATATTCAGCGCCTCCAAACGTAACCACAACTAAACACACGCCAAACAACTTTTTAGATTTCATAAAAGGATGGTTAGTCTAATTGCAGTATCCTAGGTCAATGATGACGTTGTGCTCAATCTATGTCATTCATATCTGTATATCTTTGGATAAAACCCGTCTGGGTTGTGGTGGTAATTTAAAATTGTATTCCTAAAGATTCTTGATCTCCTTCTTAATGACATCAATAATTCCGGGCCTAATCCAAACAAAGTTTAATCATTCAAAAACATTGATTGTAAACAAACCAAGACGAATTAAAACGTGTAAAATTGGATTTTCCTACCCTTTCCTAAAAAAGTTTAGCAGTATAATAATTTGCATATCCATTTTTTAAGACTAGTGTACAGAGCCTCGACTTGTATACGTCGATGGTGTTACCTTTCTCGGTGGTCTACTAATCTTACTTATTTCCTAAAAATCAATGACAAATCAGAGTAAATAAAATAACCTCATAGTTCTACAGAGGATTTTTATATTTAACCAGCTGTTAGTTAAATGAAAATTATATTGCACTAAAACAAACCGAAGATTACAAAGATTATTTAAAAAATCCTTTAAACATCCTAGTATTTTACCTATGTATATTTAAATAATCTTTCATCCTCTTATCGAAGGTGAAGTGTTCGTGCTTTTGGTCTGTATAGAGTTCACATTATTTATTACCATATGTTACATAAAAATAACAAGGTTGTTTACTTTTTGTTGTCAGTTAGTTTTTACATGATTAAAGTCAAGTTTCGTTTTACTAAGTTGTACTTTTTAATTGTATAAGTGAATACACGTTATTGGCGACGAGGAATTAGAACTCACACAATGCCGACATCAGGTAGACATAGAAGACATCAAGACGATCCAGGTACCGATCAAGTTCGTAATGAAAAAAGTATTTGTAATTTTAAATGTGACTTGTTCGACCCGGACACAGTAGAGATTGATGTGTGGCACATTAAGTTTACTACAGGTCTTAAACTCAATGGAATTAACGATGATGAAACCAAACGCTTGCTATTCATAAACGCTTTGGGTACAAATGTGTTAAGCACACTGGTTAACCTTTGTAGACCTAATGATTTAAATGACTTTAAGTATGAAGAACTTTTTAAACTATTGTTGGACAATTTTAAAACTAAAAAAATCGCCATTGCAGAAAGAGTCAAGTTTTTTTCACTGCGTCAGGGCTGCGAGAGTCTGACGGAGTTTGCCAATGTTTTGAGGAATAAAGTAAATGATTGTCAATTTCCCATTCAATTTTTCCAAAAAGCACTTGTTACCGCTTTTGTAATGGGGATATGTGATAACAATATAAGATCCAAACTCATGGAGAAGGATTATGAAACGTTCTCAGAAGTCATTAACGTAGCTAATTCTCTTTTCTCAGTAAAAGATGCTTCATTAAATAGTTTTTCTCAGAGGGAAGATTGTAATGTTTTATCTCTAGGGCCATGCTTTATATGTGGTGGTAAACATCTGAAAAGGAATTGTAACATTAAAAATCCAAGATGTTACAAATGCGGGAGTAGGAATCACATAACTAGAATATGTAAAACGGGACAGGTGGAGAAACGACACCTTAAAAGCAACATTGTTGAGAATGGTCCAAAGTCAAAGGAATCTGGTAGTAACGTTGTTGATAATGATGTAACTAGCTATAATGATACGAACTCTTTGGGAGGAATACAGGACGTTCTTTCAATTGGAAAGCAGGCAACCTTTTACCCGATTCTTATTCTTAATATCTTACTCAATAACCAGATCGTAAGGATGCAGTTTGATACAGGTAGCTGCGCTTCAATTATCTCAGATCATACTTGGAAACAGATAGGAAAACCCGACCTTTTGTTAAGTAAACAGAATTTTACTTCATTTACAGGTCATTGTGTTAAACTTCTTGGTGAGATGGATGTAGAAGTTGTTTTTGCAAACGTTAATACCAAACTCAGAGCTTTTGTCGCTTCGGGTGTCAAACAAAATATTTTGGGAAGAGATTGGATTACACCTTTATTTCTCCACAAAATATCACTTTCCGATTTGCAAAGGATATGTTCAGAACCGTATAAACAAACCTTACAAGTAGAAAATACGGATCAACAACTTGCCAAACTTGTGGATGAGTTTTCTCACGTCTTTCAACCCAATGAAAATAAATGTTCAAAGACAACTGCTCATTTGTACCTAAAAGAGGGTGCTACACCAGTGTTTAAAAAGGCAAGGCCTGTTCCTTTAGCTTTAAGGGACAAGGTTAAAGAAGAACTTGACCGGTTAAAAAGCAATGGTATCCTTGAAGAAATAGACCATTCAGAATGGGCTGCGCCATGCGTGATTGTAAGAAAACCGAATGGAGCTATTAGAATATGCGGGGACTCAACCAAGCATTAAAGGTGCAGCAGTTTCCATTACCAACTCAAGACGATTTATTGACCAAGATAGGTTCTGGACAGAAATTTACTACCCTTGACCTCTCTGATGCTTATACCTTTCTATTCCCATGGACACAGAATCTAAAAAACTCCTTGTCATTAATACTATTTTTGGTCTTATGCGATACAATCGACTGTGTTTTGGCGTAGCTCCTGCTACGGCAATTTTTCAAAAGAAGATGCATTCTATGCTTTCTGGATTAGATGGAGTCGCTTTCCTACTGGATGATGTCATTATAACAGGAATAAATGACACTGAACATCTAAACACGTTAAAAGAGGTTTTGAAACGCATTGAGGACAATGGTTTTTGTTTAAACAGAGCTAAGTGTCACTTCATGAAGGAAAAAGTCAACTATTTGGGTCTATGTATTTCCAAAGATGGAATTTCGACGAATCAAGACAAGATAAAACCCATAGTAGATATGCCTGAACCC